CCATTAGTCTCTGAGAGACTCACACTTAATGAGTCTCACACTACAAGACTCACCTTAGGAATAAAGAGATCCAGTGCATCTCTCTGCAGTGTGGAGATCCAGTGGGGCTAAAAGAGGTGGCACTGCCTATAAGCCTGAAAGAAGTCAGAGAGCAACAAAGTGCTTAAATAAGCACCATGCAAACAACTGCATCACTCCACGGTTTCATTGTTGTTTGCCCATGAGTTCTGTCTGTTTCCTGGGCCTTCAGGTAATGAAATCATGACACCTCACTCTGGAACCAGCCATATTTGGAGGGTATGTAGCAACGTTTTTCCTATAGCCTCTTAATAGGTCTCTTTCAATGTTTCTGTGTCATTTCTCTATCTCTATCTGCCTCTCTCTGTCTGTCTCTGTCTCTTTCTACCTCTCTGTCTCTGTCTCTGTCTCTCTGTCTCTCTGTCTCTGTCTCTCTGTCTCTCTCTGTGTGTGTCTCTCTCTCTGTCTCTCTGTCTCTGTCTCTGTCTGTCTCTGTCTCTCTCTCTCTCTCTCTCTCTCTCTCTCTCTCTCTCTCTCTCTCCCTCTCTCTCTCTCTCTCTCTGTCTCTGTCTCTTTCTCCACCTTCCTGTTCTTTAGCCAAGAGGATCTTCTCTGTAGTCCTGTTCTGATACTATGCGCAGGTGTGGAAGCTGACAAGAAACCTAGCCCATGGCATTTATTTGGCAGCCTAGAGAAGGCTGGCACTGTAGGGTCATGGAAGACCTTATTGTACAAAGTATCCAATTGTCTTAAATGAGAAGGATTGAACTTTGAGGTGTTGAACATAGGGTTTCCTCCAGCCATTCAGACACATATAAATCTCCTGACACTCAGTGCCCCACATGCTTATAACTGTCCTTTTTGCAGTGTGGATGAACTGGTGGGTAATAGAGTGTCTCTCCTGTGAGTAGCATTCTGGCTTTGAGTGTATTGAAGCACCTCATTCTTGGAGAATCTGAAACAATCATGTGACATCTAGGAAAGTACCTGAAAGAACTTGAGATGTTCGCTGTCCTGCTCTCCCCCAAAGATGATGTATCTAGCCTTGAGGTCCCTAGCTGAAAGGGGATGATTTCCACCACAGAACATGGAGGTGAACTCGGAGCTTCAGATGAGACTCTGACCTGGCCAGCTGCATGTGTGCCATTCCTTGTATGATTCTGAAACAGGGACCCAGCACAGCTGGGCCCAGACAAATGACCCATAGAAAGAGAGAGATTGCAAGCATTTGTATTGCATAATTAGTTACACAGAAACAGAAATTTACTAGACATAGATTCAAATGGAGACCAATACTCCCTCCAAGGGGTTACAGCAGATTATTTTGCATCCATAGTGAGACAAGACTATGACAATGCAGAATTCCAGCACACTTAAAGCAAACAGAGTTCCATCCAGACTCTAAAAAGGATTCAGTAGAATGGATTTAATGATCTGTCTCAGTGTCCTCTAATGAGAAGTAATAATCCTTCTATATCCACTGACCCAGGGGCCAAAACTGCAAGAAAATTTATGAGTAGAACTATATTAGTGTTAATCTGGAGAATAAACCAATAAGTCTGTCATCTAATGAAAGGAAATGCACAAAAAGCTACTAAGACACAGATGAGACATGGAGAACTTCCCAGCATCGGGATGTTGAAGCTAGACGTGGTGACTGCAGCAAGAACAGACCAAGATGTATCTGAGGAGAGTGAGCTACTCAGCACCCAGTGCTTAGCTCTGTAGGCAGTTTTCCTCCACCTTTAAAGAAATCTGTGCCTCCCTGGGCTGCAACACAAACTCAAGGTCACACAGGTGGACTGAAACTGCCTGCAACTTAGGATGAGAAAACAGTGCATACTTCTCAGTGGCCCAGTACATTACTGCTCCAGAGGGGGTGCTCTCTTACTATGAACTTTCTTCTCTGTTGGCCTCACAACTCCTAGAAGAGGAAAGCCATGGAAAACATTTGGAAAGGACTCCTATATAAGATATCGTTCTACTTCTGTGTCAGTTTTAGCTTCATCAAGTGAATCTTGGAAGGGTTATGATGGACTTGGACAAACCAGGGCTCCCTGAACTTGCTTCTAGGAGGAGGGAAAACGAAATGTACAAGATTTAGTTTTTAGAAATAGGGAAAGTAATCTGTGAAGAAGAGAGGTAAGGGAGAGGATTGTAATTGGGATGAAAATAATCAAAATATATCATAGATACATGGCAATATACCAAAATAAATCTCATCGTTTGGTAATAATAATTTGCTCCAAAATTTAAATAAAATGTTTACATGATATACACAACTGCAGAATTAGTAAACCAAAGACACAGAAGATTTCTGATGTTGTCTTAATGTTCAGAGAAAAATGGGCTGCCATGTAGAATTATCTCCAGAAAAGAGGACTCAGAAGAGCAATCTGTGAGAGAGCAGGACCCCTCATAGGTTCTCTTCCTGGGTTCTCCTCGTCTCTGTGTACAGAACTTCTTCCATTTGATTATAGATCCAAAACCTTGCAGAAGAGGTGAAGTACTTTCCCAGAAGTTAGGTAACAGAATTTCTGTGTGGTCAGTTCATACATAGAAAATGAGTAGGAGGTCAAACACTTCTCTTGGTTTCATGGGTTCTTTTAGGTAACAAAAGTTTTACTTTGTATGGCCTATTTTTAAGAAGATGACTTTCAGTTTATAAGACTGGCTTTGGGAGATCAGATGATAAATTGGTAGTAAAAGGTTAAAGAACTACTGCTTCAGAGGCCCTCTCCAACTCTTTAATTTCAAAGTACTCTTCCTGTCAAAGACAGATACTTTGTGATACACAATGTCTTGATCTCTGATATTTTTCACATCTAGAACTTTAGCAGCAGTTTCACAAAACTTAAGATTTCAGCATTGGAAGTGGATAGAGGAGAATCGGAGTACCAAATGTGTGATGAACTATCACAAAGGGTCAGATGCATGCATTGGAGTGAGTAAACACACAGGGAAGAACTAAACAAAGCTTATGGAAGAATTAAACAAAGCTTATGGAAGAATAGAAGCCCACACAGACAAGTCCAGCTTCTTCATTCATGCACCGCTCATCAGCAATATTCTAAGTGGATCCTATGCTCTCTGTACCTTTGCATGCCTTGGAGGTATAACTCAGGTCAAACAGATTCATGACTTCTCATTATGAATATGAAGGGTCAGCATACTGATAGCTCTAAATTGTAAACAAATACTCATCGCCAAACATGATAAAATAAATCTATAAAGTAGATAAAAAGGATAGGATGTCCTGGTTTTTTTCTCTCTTGTTTGTAAGACAAAAGGCTTGACACTGAAATTTAGGAAAAGGAAGGTTTATTAATTACAATTTTTGAGGTTTCAATTCATACTTAGCCAGCACCAAGAGAAAAGGGGGCATTGGGGGGCCATGGTAAGAAGCAAGTGCCAACAGTGAGAGAGAGAGAGAGAGAGAGAGAGAGAGAGAGAGAGAGAGAGAGAGAGAAAGAGAGAGAGAGACAGAGAGAGAGAGACCTTCTTCCAGGCCTTACACAGTATGCTGGCTCCATCCTTGGGTGGGTGTAGCACTCACACTACCAATCCAAGCACTAGAAATTGAACCAATCATAAATGAACCAATCATAAATTCAGCCAGGTGCATGATAGCCTGAGGCTTGTCAGGACCACAAGAACACAATCATAACAGGGGTTTGAAGGGGTTCCAAAATATTGCAAATCACAAGATATTATTAAAGAAAATTCAACTATGTGGAATGAAATTTTATCAAACAATGCCATTATTTTAGATTTTTATATTAACCTGGAAAATAAGCACTTATGGGCAACTGATTTTTACGAACATTTGGTCGGCATGGTGCTGCTAAATAAAGGGAGAATCTAGCATATTTTCCCCTGCACATTAACTGAACATCATTTTTAGGTACATTTGTGAAGAATTTTAACCAGATTGGTATAACTGAGACCATACTACCTTTTTTGCGTTCACCTTCTAGTTTCCCAGATAAAGTTTATTTTGTTTCACCACTAAAAATGACACACTGATATTCCAGAAGATAATGTGGAATAAACCTTTTCCTTAACAATTATGGATTCCTAGTGTGCACAACAGAAATCTGAAGATTGATTTTGGAATGTCAGAAAGTTTTGAAGTTTAAAAAGAAGTAAGAATTTTAATATTGTTAAGGTAGGTAGTTCCTTTATTCTAGGAAAAACTCTCTTCAAATATCATTAAAAATAAATGTAGCATCTAAGCTAGATCTCAGATCTTAGAAAAGTCACACATGGTAGCCAGGCATAGATTAGTCTCCAGGGTATAATTTTATTAGTTTTAATTATCCTGAGATACAATCTCAATAATCATTATTGTGCTGCATCAGTCTGTTTTAGGTTAGCTGGATTCAGAGTCTCAGAGTAGATTAATTTCTGTCATTAGGTAGTAGAAAAATAAAACCATAACAGAAGAAAAATCTAGAGTTTTGAACCAAACAATTCAAAGGCACAAATACATTTCCAGTGTTACCTGAGTAAGTTAGGAAAGGGGGATGTCACATTCTGAAAAAGAGGAAATGAAAACTGAAGGATTAAATCCACATTGGGTGCTAGTGAATCGTAAGAAATATGACGATATTTCAAGCAGTGCAATTTTATGACTATAAGCACTATTTAGGGTTAAAATCATTTCTATAATTTACTTAAATCAATTTATACAAAACCTCAATTAAGCAATATATTTCAATATATGTACATATATTTGTATATATATATATATATATATATATATATTAAAGACTATATAACATCAATGAGTCTACACATGTGTTTGAAAATGCACATATATCCTGATAAGACATTTCTCACATGCAGTCCTAGAGGTATAATTAATAATTTAGTTGGAGATATTTTAAGACTATAAGCATTATGAACTACAATCAATAGTTTCTTCCATTTTTCATCATATATAGAGATACTTAAAACCAGCATTATTTTGCGTTAAAAGTCTAAAAATTCACTTTAGTCACAAACCAATTTCTCTCAGTGAATTTTCTCATCGCCTGTTTGACATCTGTGTTCCTCAGACTATAGATGATGGGATTCAGCATGGGAATGACAATAGTGTAGAATAGGGACACCACCATGTCATGCTCCAAGCCGTGGCTGGGATTTGGTCTCACGTACATGAAGAGGATCGTCCCGTGATAAATGGACACTCCGGTTAGGTGGGAGCCACAGGTGGAGAACACTTTTCGCCTTCCCGTGGCAGAATGCATCCTCAGAATGGCCAGCAGGATGAAGCCATAGGAAATCAGGACAATCAGGAGAGTGACCACCTCAATGGCACCCACCAGGTAGAATAGTAGAAGCTGGTTTGTGCGAGTGTCAGAACAGGAGATAGCGAGGAGAGGAGGGATGTCACAGAAAACGTGCCTAATTTCATTGGATCCACAGAAGGACAGGCTAAATGTGGCCACAGTGTGTACTGTGGCATGTAAAATGCCACCAATGTAGGAAGCAATAATCAGAGGAACATACACTCTGGGCGACATAGTCGCAGAATACAGGAGTGGTTTGTAGATGGCTATGTAGCGGTCATAAGCCATTGCTGCCAAGAGAAAGCATTCTGTGGTCCCAAAGGTAACAAAGAGAAGCATCTGTGTTGCACATCCAAGAAAGGAAATGGTTTCCTCCTTTGTCAGAAAGCTGAGCAGCATTTTGGGGGTGACAACAGTCGAATAGCAGGCATCCAAGAATGATAACACGCTGAGAAAATAGTACATGGGTTTGTGGAGCCGGATATCACCGATGACCAATACTACCAGACCCAAATTTCCTATTAGAGTGAAAAGATAGATTGCCAGAAATAGGAAAAATAGGAAGCCTTGCAGGTCACGATCATCTGTGAAACCAGTCAGGATAAACACAGTGACTTCGGTCATATTTGTCAAATGAATCACAAGGGAATCCATATCTTTTGGTGTCCTTGGCATTTCAGTTATGATTTGAAAGTCTTACCATCAATTGCTGCTGAAATAGAGCCCACCATTAGTATTTCAGAAAGGCAAAGAGAAATCCTTGTCACTGCAAAGAGCAGACAGAGATGAAGAAGTCTGGTCCAAGTGGTTCACTACCTTGTGAAGGTGAGTTGAAAAACTGTATTATTCACTTGTTGACTGAATGCATACGATTATGAGAATCTTACCATTTGATTTTCTGGCTTTCTCTTATTTTCTGTGCCATGTTGTCTGCTCCTGTCATATTTCCTTGTCTTAAGTTTCTCAGACTGAATCATCACCCTAGGTTTCATACAAAGTCTGTAGAATGAAGTTTCCATTGTTCTCGGTTCGCCATGTAGAATAACCACACTTACAAGGTAACCCAAATAAGAGAAGCAATGTGGGAACTGGTGAATAAACTCCCTTAGTTAACTGGAAAATGAGAGGAGTTGGACTCACATTTCAGTTTGTCAGCTGGGGTGCTCTGCCTGACTGAAGCATTCAGAACAACTGGATCACTCGGTCAGTGCTTCCTGGACAGTGATGGACAGAACATAAGAGGCTTCTTAAGGGAGGTGTACCTTGTTAGCAACAAAAGACAAAAACAGAGAAAACAACTTGGCATCGTTTCATTCTTTTTTATTGTTTATTTTTTGAATTAAGGTCTAATCATTGTCCTCTTTTGGTTTCAGCATTTTCTTTTTCAAAAAATCATTATTGTTTCTGAATTATAATTAAAACTAAAGGCATATGTATCAGTTCATATGCTGATCATACATGCCCAGCTCTGGGTTATATTTTGGGATACATTTTTGCAATATATTGTTCATCTCCACAAATGTTACAAATGTTAATACAGAGAGCTTTGATAAGAGACATTAAAATGTTTCATTAAAGTTTAATATATATTAAGGATAAAACATATGAAGCCTGCATTCCAAGTGTTACAAAACTACCACATAGTTAATTATAAAATCAAGTTGTCATTATACCATTTAAAAATGATTGTGCTCTTAATAGGAAGCTAAGTGTTTCTTCATATAGTTATGAATAGGTTTACGTCATACATAAAATCCATTAAAATTCCATGTTAATGATCTTATACTCTGAAAACCACAAAATCCTTAAAACAGTAGAATTTAAGATGACACTTTTCTCTGTGAACAGGGGAGAAAGGCAATGCAATTAACCTTTTGACATAAAGTCTTGTTGGCCTTTCTTGGTTGCATATGTTTGTAGTACATAATGATTAGATTGACAGTGGGGAAGTAGCACACATGAACTTTTGATGTTAATAATTTTCTAGCAAACAATGATGGCTCTGCTCTTTACTATGGAGCAAACAAGTAACTGATGGATACAAAGTATACCTTGTTCCAGATCGGGTCTCAGCAGAGCAATTATCTAGGTCACCATTGTTAACTGGAGGGATTATCTATAGTAAGGCTTGTTGTGGATTGGAAACTGGTGCTCAATTTAACACTATTTTAAGTGAATTGGCATGCTGCTGGGTGTAGATGGCCCACCTGAGGAATTTTGCCAGTATAAGGGGAGACCTGGGGAGGAAGAACATGGCATTGTAGGTTTTCTTATGTATTGCTGTTTGGAACATTTGTTTTCATGGAGGAACTTATCATGATGGGTTCCCTGATATGAATTCAGCCATTATTATCAGAGGAGCTCAGGACCTTATCACTGAGAATGGCTGTAGTTCACTTTGAGGGAACTCTAGTCCTTAAATTTTGCATTGCTTCTTGGCCCTGAAAGATGTGTGATGTTTAATCTCCAGGACAAACTTGTTATGTTGGCTTCCTGACGTGCACTCTACTGTTCTCATCATCACAGGAGCTTGGGACTTCATTGTCACTGAGGATGGCTGTGGTGGTTTTCAGGGGGGCTGCGGTCCTTATTTTGAGTGTTGCTTCTTGGCTCCAGTGTAGAACACTCAACCTACTGGTACACATCCTTCATCCCACTTGCATACACTTTCTAGCTTCTACTGTTGATCTTTGGGCCTTTCCTGTGCAAAACCATAAAACATGCTGGCATGAGTCCTTCTTTTGGACTCTGGATCTCCAGCTAGACTCATGGGAGGCATTGTCCTGGGCTCTAGGTCTTCTGCTGGACTCATGCAAGACATTGTTGTAAGATCTAGGTGCTAGGCAGAATTTTCTAGAGCTTTAGTGTTGTGGGAATATTTCTTGTACTTTCTTGTATTTAACTCTGGGTGACTATCATAAAATAATGCTATAAATTCTATGTCTTATATGTAATTGTTTTCCTTATTACGTCTGACTACAACATTGATTTTCAATACTGTATCCACAATGATTACAAACAGACATTTTGGGTGACTCATTATTTAGAAAATTAGATCTCATGGCATTTGGCTTCTCTGATTTCACACTGACAGATTATGGATAAAAATACAAATCTCAATTTTTTTAACAAAACATGAATAATCAAGAAAACCAGAGAAAATTCAGTCCCTCAATTCTCAAAGTTTTAAAACACAAATTATTAGCCATGTTACAGCTAAGGAGCTCAAAAGAAGAGAATACAATATAGAAGCTGTCACATTATTATAACTATACAAAGGAAAAAACTTGTGTATGTTTTACCTTATGGACTCTGCACAGCAGCGCTAAAGTAACTTGTTCAGAATCCTTGTATTGATGTAAAAGCTGCAGCCTGGGGACAAACAGAAAATGACAGTCACACAGTTGGTAGCAGAACTGTAATCTATGCCCCAGTTTCTGTCCATACTTATGCTATCTTCACTTCCACAGCTATGCTGTGCTGGAATTAGAAATCATCACTGACAATACAGAATCACACTTGCCCATATTTAAATTCATTCACAAAACAGTCAAGCTTAGAGAGAACATAAATCTTTGAAAAGAACAGCTAACAGCCGACTGTATCAATTTTCTAATTGGAAAATAAATTTAAAAATTATTTTCACAAGAAAAAAATCTAAAAATATACAATTAATACTTCTTTAAAATGTAAAATGGGCTAAATTTGTTCCCTTGTATAAATTAGAAACATAATTTTAACCCAAGTCCCTTTTTCTGAGCATTATCCTTTTACAAGTAAATTAAGCAAATTCTTAAATCATAGTTTTATGCACTGATATTCTTAGGAAATTATCTCTGTCTTCTCTACTGAAGGGTCAGGGATTCAGCTGACCATATAATGTCAAGTTAAAACCTTTCTCTAAGCCTTCCATAGTAAGGCATACTTTCTATTTTTTTTTATTTAAGGAGAAAAAGAAAAAAAAACAGAAAAAGGGTACAAGTTATACAGAATTTCACCAAAAAATAAGCAGTAGGAAATCACTAGTTAATGGATTACATATTGTCATCTTAGAAATATTTTTTCAAGTTACAAGATTAAAGCATATAAAGTGGACATTCAAACAGCGAGACTGCAAAGAGTTCTGTTCAATGATCCAACAAAACTCAGTAATATCATTGTCTATCTTATACTCTTAAATATTCATGCAGTTATACCGTTTAAAGCACTTTATTTTAGACACTATAATGTCTCAGTATCTCACAAGCTATCTATGGCCTTTCCATTCACCATCAGAAATGGACTGCTCAACAATTTAAGGCCAGGAACAAGTATCAGACAATTGCTATTTTATATTGGGTCCTTGTGCTCTCCTTGGAGTCCATAGAGATGCTCCAAGGGCAATATACAGCCACTGTCTTCCAGGGGGAAAAGGCACCAAGGTAATTTTGTTTTTTCCACAGTAAGTGACTTAATGATATGATGCAATGAGTTGCATGGTTAAAATTATTGCATGAATGTATTTTTCCCAGTGAAATAAAATACAAAATTAAAACCATAGAGTCTAAAAAGAATCAGTTTTATCATTTATAATAAATTTGTGACATTAGAATGACAATAAATTCTCTGAAATCCAATTCCTTTTCTTGGAAATATCATGGCTTGAATTCTCTTGATACCCTGAAAACACATAGGATTTGGCAATGTGAAAGCATTAATTATGAACCCGTATAACCATTCCTTAATGATCTCTCAGTGTATTTGTAAATATTAAATTTCTTTAATCTTAAAGTAGTATAGTGGAAGGGAATAATAAATGAATCAAGTGAACCCATATTTGGAAATATTAACAGGTTAGTTACAGCAAGGTAAATATAACTATAATCTTTTTAGGTTCCCCTGAACAACTTATGTTTGAGGTCTCCCATACATAGTTCACAGTTTGAATCTAGCTAAAAACAAAAATTTCTAAAAAATATTGTAGAGATGTCTTGAGTGATCAAGGAAATGACATAGTAAGACACAGAAACTACTTGCAAAAAAATCTAAAGTGTTAAATATTGGCAAAAATAATATCTGGAAGTGACAGTCAAAGAAACAGTTAAGTGTGTGTGGGCCAAATAACATCAATAGGATAGTTATGAATATAGCCCACAAAGTTTTCCACCAATTTTATTACTGGAGGAGCCAGTCATAACTTTCTATAGAGAGAAGGAGAAGGTTAAAGAATTTCAAAACCTGATATATCACTAACATGTCACCTAATATCTTGAGTAGCCATTGAGATATTAGCAGGAGGATCAGAAGTGTTCACACAACATTCAGATTGTTAAAATTGCATGAATATCCCCTTGGGTTGCTGTTACAATGTCTAATGCCATCCAAATTGGAAGATGGGTTGCCTGATTAATTTTACTTCTCCATTCAACAGAGAGATCAGCCAAAGTGAGGTTTAAAGCCCAATTCATATAGATAGTTAGGGGTTCAATGTGTTGCAAGACATCTTCTAACTGTAGGGAAAGAATAAATACAAAAGACAAATGATCATACCAGTGACACACACGTATTGATGCTATATGTGGGATAAGTTTCCAGGTTTGTCAACACTTTTGATACTTCTGCTTTGTAAACATGCAAATTCCATCATACACCTTCCTACCCATCTGAGGGGCAGCCAGGGCCACAAATTGGGTCCA